GGACAGTGCAATTAACCTACCAGCCATTTCTATAACAAATGTACAGCCAGGTTACATGTCCTTCAGCATGAAGTGGTCAGAATATGTCTTACCACATAATGACCACCTTGTTAGGTGACTACTAGTGAGATTTCACTGTATAATGCTTTCCCACAAATCCACTGGACAAGTACAGACAGCAGATTGTGGTGGGAACTGCAACAGTTGTGCATTTATGGTCTGAAAGAACAACAGACTGGTTTAACATTAACTTACTTTTTGTTGGGTGTCTCAGCAAAACATTTGAGTGATGAAGTCTCTACCACTGTTTCACAGAAGGCCACCACAGGATCAGCAACTTTGATATCTTGAGGTAAGAAGCAGATAAACCCATAGAAAATATAAAAAGCAGCATATAGAAAAGAAAGGCAGCCTCTTACAGAAAAGTACATTAAATGTACTCTTCAGGCAATCTTCAGTCCTTTACCAACTGATACATTCTTTATCAGCTAGTATATAACTAGAAGTATTCCAAGAATGTTATTTTAGCTCCTTACAGAATAATTATAAATATATGGTATGCTATTACATCAGATTCATTAATACATGTACCTAAGACAGTTTATCCCTTCCTGCTGATCAAAAGCCTTCCATGTGGCCTGTCCTAAACAGTTGATACAACACCAGCCAACAAAAAAGTAGCCCCTAAAAATGGCATACTCGTACAAGTATTTCTATTTCTACACCAACTAGCTTTCAGTACTTGGGGTGACGTCACAATCTTACAAAGAATTTATTTTATCCTCTTGACGAGGAGAACTTTTTTCTGAAAGCCGACTCTAAGAATTCCAGCCTCACTTGGCCATGAAGGCCGCAAATTCTCGGTTTGTGGCCCTGCGTGCTCTGCACGCTTTGAATTACACAGTGAAAAGGCTCACTGTTCGGTGGCATGCGGCTCTACTCACGCTTCCACATTCCCGTTGCCTCTTTGCAAAGTGGGGACTATTGTGAAGCTGGTGATTATGATGCAAATTCAGTCTTTTCATTTCTGGGCTACACACAAAGGCCAATCACCATATATACAAGAGCCAGGGTCTGCCTTCTTTCACCATGTTCACTCGAGCATGGGCCAAGAATAATAGCTGAAAAGCGGGCTGAGAATCTCAATTTTTACGGCGGCTTTTACCATCATCCGCCCTGAAGGGGTTAAAGGAACTAAACTGTTCCAACAAATGTGAGTCAGTTTATTTCAAATCATTTGGCAATGAATTGCAATATAAAAACCGTAAAAAAACAGAGCAATAAATGTTTTTGCCCAAGCGTGAAAAAATAATTTTAAGTGCGAGCACTGTATGCATCAGGGAGGAGCAGGGGGTATCAAGAGCCAAGGGCAAAATGGCAGTATGTGAACCTCTTCGATTCTTAAAAGGAATATTCAAAGCCCCCCCCCAAAAAAAACTCATGTCAAATATTTCCACTTACAATTTACACAATACATATTGACTTGCTTGACGCAATGCATGTATGCTTTGGTCCATGGAGGCTCATTCCAATGTTGGTGGTGGCACCCCCCACATACACACACACACCAATATAATTATGGGGCGGCGCAGGCATCTGGGAGTTTCACAAAATTGCGGGTAGCAACCACACCGCACAAATGAAAACAACTGCAACGAGAGCGGGTGTACGGACAGATCAAAGAAAAAAATGTGTAATCAGATCCTCGGACTGGCTGGTGCATGCGTACGTTGCCATGGTCGCTGTTTTCACCAGCGCGGTACCTGCCATTTTGCAAGAATCCCAGATGTCCGCGCTGCCCAATACATAAATGGCTGTTTAATGTACTTCCCTGTTGAAAAATAAAGTAACCAAATTATCCAAGAAGTTTATAAAAATTCACAATTGTCAGTTAACATTTGATTGCACAGCAACATAGAAGTGTATTGCGATGAGGAAATACAAGTTTCAGTTGTTTACAAATTTTAAACAGTCATTCTTGTTGGATGACCCTCTGGATCACCAATGGCAATATTGGCTATTTTTGTCTGCTTGACTATCATTTAAATCATCCTTGTGAGAGTGCTTGAGGCAGAAACATGTCACTTAACAGTTGCCCATGAACATGGACTGGAAAAAAGCATGCAAAATAGAGAAACAGCAAAGCAGACAAACATTTCTGAAAGCTTGGCAGAATTATTCAAAAAGATACTGGATTACTGAAAAAGGATCCCACAGCAGTCAATTTCTTATTCCTGGTTATTTTCTTATGAACAAAGGCAAATGAAAATGCACCAGCAGAAATCTGGACCTGACTTCACCAAACACTGCACAGTTTAAGAATACAACTTATGCATCTTCCATAATTTGCCATTGCCATTCATGCTACCTAAATTAAATGTGAAGTGGAGCCCTACTCATAGGTCATAGACTAGTTTGTACAAGATGTAACTTCTATGAAATGGTTATAAAAGCCTAGTGTTATGCAACAAAAAGGTTGTCCAAACTAATGTAGCAGGCAGTGCACAATTCATGAAATCACATTATTTCTAGGGGCAGGATTCAGCTAAAGGTAACAATAAGGCTAACAATATCAATATTTTATGAAGCAAAGTAAACCCGCACACAGTGACTCAATCCAAGAAACCAACCTATTTCAGAGTACATCTTCCTCAGGTCATGCATAACACAATCCAAGTACAGCTCACCAGTGCCTAAAACCACATGTTCACCCGACTCTTCAACCTGCTCAGAAAAGAGAACAACTTCCAGTAGAAACTGTCGATTTTAACAGATATTTTTTTCATTTATACATGTACGTACATGAGTCCAACACATACAATAAATTACTTTACATTTTTGTAGATGACTTTATACCAATAAAAGTCTACTCAAGTGATGGACCTCTTTCTACATCTTCCAAAATCAAGTTCAAGTAAGATCAATACTGCAATACTTTCCATTTCTTCTAAATTGTGATGCTCCATTTTCACGAAAGTACAGCAGTAAAACAATATGTTTACTTTTCATTAGTCATACTTTCTATCACAGTATACTTCTTAATTGCGACCACTTGGCACACCTTAGTTGTGATGAGGGGGTAGCTTTTATTGATCTTCCGTAGTCCATCTAACATTTTAGGTAGTTCAGAAGGATTGACAGGTTCCACAGCAATCTTGATGACTGAGCTGGTGTTGAATTTCAGAGGGCGAAAGATGTAGACCTGAGGGGTACCAACCACGACAAACAAAATAGAATTTCAAAGAGCCAATCAAATACAACACATTTTGTTTGATACCGATTTTGAAATCCATCATCGTTTCAGAGTAATGCTGCTTATAATTGTGATTCAGGGCCTTTTGGGTTTTACACTAATGCAAGTTTCTGTACTTGTGAGCAACAACATGCTGTGTAGGCAGAACTTTAAATTAAGTAGAAACTAAACTGCATGCACTGTATGTCAGTACAATATGTCACCCCCTTCCCTTCACTGAATATGTAAAGTGCATCTCATGGCAATAATGGTACTTAAGGTTCTGGTGTTGATAAAATACCAAATTGAAATAAGCACTAATGACACACATAATACTACCCATATACCCACAAACAATAACTTAAACATTATGTTGTGAAATGCGGTTGAATGGATAGACAAACAGTCTGCATCCAAACTGAGCATCCATGTGGATGGACGGAAATAGGTATTACAATAAACTCTTGACAACTCAAATTTGGTTGGCTCAAAACTCTGCTCATCTCAAAGACATTCTTTATTCCAGCCAAAGAACAGGCTTTTATGTACAAAAACACATCCATAACTCAAAATGCCCAAGCCACTACCTTTGCTTAACTCAAAGATTTGAAGGGCCGATCCGAAAAGACTGCCACCAAACCACTGACAATGGGTGGAAAAAGAACGCAAGACTTTAACTATTAGTCATTCCGCAAAGCGCACGTTGTCTTTTCTAGTGTCATTTTGCATCAGAACACGTGCATACTTGCTGTCATTGTAATTGACTGGTAGCAACCACAACCGGTACATCCTGCCTTTCAAGCAAGCCTGACTGCTAGTACTGCCCAATTGTAGCCCACACGCTTGTAATCCAATCATTGATTCTTTGTGGTAGCCATGTGGCCACACTGGAGGAAGCTTTGTACATGCCGCAGCTAAAGCCTGGCTGCCATCACCGGCCCAATTGCAGCACTCGCAGGCCGCTCACATAGTGACTGTCCAATCACAACCTGTGTAAACACAATGTGATGGCCATGTGATCACCAAGGAAGCACAACGACCACCCGGTAGTGCAGCAAGCTTTGAGGATGCAGGGAATGCTGGGCTGGCTTTTTCAAACTCTAAATATGGTATCAGTACACTTTGCGATTTCTCCGAGGTCAGACTTGTTCAAAATCAGCTGTGATGGAGAAAAAGAAGCAAGAAGTTGAAAGCTTTGCCAATAAGGTCAAACTTATTGAAGAAGTTGGAAAATGTGGAGCAAAATGAAGGGCAGACATTGTGGTGGAAGGGGAATTCCACACTGTCTTCAATCCTGAAAAACCAACGATAAGGTCATGGAGCAGTTTGAAAGCGTATGAAAATGGCGGCTTATCCCAAAGTGGAGGAAGCTCTATTGATTTGGTTCAAGGCTCCGTGTGTCAAGAACATTCCTGTGTCGGGGCCACTTTTGCAAAAGAAGGCTCAATCATTTGCCAAGCTGTTGGGCCACATCAACTTTACATGTAGTGATGGGTGTCTCTTTTGCTTCAAAATATGACACAACATCATCATATTCGTCATCGCTGGAGAGAAAGCTGCAGTCACTCCTGAAATAATGAAAGATTGGTTGGAAACCAGCCCACGTCAAGTTCTAATGGCATAAGAACCGCTGGACATTTTCAATGCCGACAAAATGACCATTTTTTACTGCCTTCTGCCAGATCACTGTCTGACCTTTAAGAGGGAGGCGTGCAACAACAGTAAGAGAAGTAAGGAGCGCCTGACACTGATGGTGTGTGTCAACATGGATGGCAGTGAAAATCTGCCTCTTCTTGTCATCGGCAAGTTAAAAAAAACCAAGATGTTTTGTGAATGTGAAGTAGCTACAGACGCAGTACAAGGCAAACAAGACTGCCTGGATGATGTTAGAAATCTTCGAAGCCTGGGTTCGTAACATCAACAAATTGTACAGGAAGAAAAAGGGAAAAATTGTAACCATTGTTGACAAACTGTCCAGCCCACCCTGCATTACCGGCATGAAGAACATGAAGCTGGTTTTTGTTCTTCCCAACACAACGGCGAAACTCCAGCCAATGGATCAGGGTGTGATACAGAGCTTGAAAACACACTACCGCCGGTTTATCATCACTCCTTGCAGCAGTTGAGAAAGAGTACAACCCCACTGTACCACACACCATGATCTTTTACAAGAAATCTTGGAAAACTATGAAGGAAACAACCATTGCCCACTGCTTCAAGCACGCAGGGTTCAAAAAACTGCAACTGCAGAAGATCAGGACACAAAAAGTGAAGCAGCTGACAACATCAACACTGCCACATCAAGCAATGACCTTGTAGACCAGCTTGGAGATGCCAGGGTAGATATGACACAACACTGGAGTCGTACATCACAGTCGATGCAGAAGTGAGATGTACCATGGAGCTAACCGATGAAATCATCACAGATGCTGTATCATCCAACTTGGCAGAAAGTAATGATGAAGTCGACAAAACCTACCCCGGCCCCCCCGCCCAGCTGTCTCCACTACCAAAGTCATGGAGTGTGTGGACAAGGTGCATAGCTTTGCACTACACAGCGACCACGCTGAAGGCATCTTCGATGCAATCTGTGACATCAAGGACTTCTTTTTTCATTTTTGAAAGGGCAAAGCGAAGCAGAAGAGATCACGGACATCTTCAAAAAGTAAAAAACGACAGGCACTGTTGGGGGCGCTCATCGTAGCTGCCTCATTGAGTTTTAGCTGCTCACGTTTGTTCGATTTTATTTCTAAGTTTTTAATATGTTTTGATCAGCCATTTTCATTGGACTATTATGCAGATTTTGTGACAGTGATTTGCTTGTTTGTGACCATTACTGGAAGCTTCTTGGTCTCTGATAACGATTCTAAGTGTGTATACGTGTATGTGTGGACAGCAGTGCATATATGAAGACCGTCATGTTGACCGTTTCGTTGGTCCAGATCATCTGTTGCTGTGTCTTCATGCTGTCAGCGTTAACTGATCCCATCAGAGTGATATTTCTTTGAAAGATGTCTACGTAATGGTTGGCAATACTGAAATTTATCCAAGGGATTTTGCCTGTAACCTTGGTGTAGTGTTTGACTGCAATTTAACATTTCATAGACAAATTTCGCAGGTTATATTCACACGTTTTTCCACTCGCGAAAGATTGCTGCTGTTAAGAAATATTTGTGTACTGAGTTTCTTAGTAGAATTGTCCATGCCTTTACCCGGTTAGACTTTTCAGAATCAGGTTCAGAATCAGGCAGCTAGGTTATTAACAGGTACTAAAAAGAATGATCACATTTCTCCAGTTCAAAACCATCTTCTTTGGCTCCCAGTTCAGCAGCAGATTAAATTGAAACTTTTAACATTTGCTTTCAAGGCTGTTTGGGGCACTGGTCCTGTTTATCTAAACCTTCCACTCAAACAATTTCAGTGACAAACAAGAGCCAGTTCAGCTCCAACTTTGGAATGTAAACGATCCAGAAAAGTCGCTACTGGCAACAGAGCTTTCAGATTTGGAACTAGGTGCCAGTATCATTAAGACAACTTAACGCTTTACCGATTTTAAGACACATCTCAAAACCAATCTTTTAAAGAAGCCTTTGCTATGTTCTGTTACATGTACAAATGTAGAGTTGTAATGTGTATTTGTGTGTTTAATTTTCTTAAACTGTTCATTATCTGTGTATGTTTTAATACTGTATATGGTTCTTGTGTAATTGACTTCAGCAAATTTTTCACCAGCCTTGTTTTGATGATTTACTGGGGGCAGAGTTTTGATGTGTATTTTGTCTTTCACTTTTAATTTAGTATTTTCTTCTGGCAATTTTTAATGTTGTGAAGCACCAGTGACAATTAAGTTTAAGGTGATGTAATTATTATTATTTATTATTATTGCACACCAAAAACGGCCTTTTCAGCCCCTTATGGCACCATGTGAGATACATCCCCGTTGTAGCCAAATCTCACTCAAATTTTAAAAATAGGATAAAAATGAAAAGGCAAAGGGAATAAATAAACAAATAAAAAACACATGTTTCTTTATGCTCAAATGTTTTGAAATGCAAAATGGTCACCTCTGTGATCATTAAGGATCAAACAGGGAAACCCCGGCCCCGACCAAGGGGGGGCTGGGCGTAGCACTTTTTGCCATGCTGTTTGCAAAACGAAACAAACAGCATGAAAGAATTGCCATAAAAGGAAACAACTACATATGTACTTATAATGTGTTCAATTACCACTGCGCAGTCATGTAGGGTTTCTTGTGCACTCTCTGTGTAGACAAGACTCAGGAACTTTCATCAGCTAGAAATCCGGATCCATTCCCTAAGGTTTGTGTAATCGTTTACTGTACAAATGTTTGCACCTGCTTCACAGCTCACCGAAAAATACAAGGGGCTATCCATTCTGGGGATACATTAAAATCTCCCTTGCAATCAGACTACATGGAAATATATATATATATATATATAGTAATGCTGATTTTATTTAACATATATTTTTTTTTATTACTGGTGGCTGTAGAACAAGCAGAGACAAAAAGATACTCTATAGGAAGATGAATCTCAGACTGATACACGTACCTCATCCAGCCCTCTGCTCTCTGTGATGGTGGATGTCTTGACAATTGGTTCATCTACACCCTCTATCAATACCCAGTTGCCTGCTGGCACACGGTTCACCTCAATTTTGTATCTAAAAGGAATTTAAACATTCACACTTACTTTTCATGAAAGGTTTTTTGTTAAAGCATGATTCTACTTTTGGAACATAAAAACAGCACAGAAATTACACCCCCAGTAAATAGAATCTATGGGTTCCAAAATTCTATAAAGTAAAAAGAATTCCTGTACAATCAACTGTGCACTGTTTCTGTACAATATAATGTTAGTTAAAGGTGCTATTAAAACCTGTTGTTATAATTATTATCATCATTATTAAATAGAGGGCATACTAAATATTAGACTATTAACATTTCAAATCATGGAAATGTAGTCAAATAGCTGTCTAACCATGATCTTAAGATTACACATCACAAATAAACGTAAGTTGACATGATTGATAGTTTAAGTTTGGTTTTCTTCAGGTTAATGTATTTTGTATGGGTGGTCCTAAACTTTTGCAAATGACTGTACCGGTACATGTACAGTATTTTGACAGTGAAAACAAGTTGAGGTCTTGCACTTTTTATGATAAAAACTGAAACCCATGACTAACTGTCATGGCAGCAATGACGCATGTATGAGAACTCTCTCATGTATAAGTCATGTCATGTGAAGAAAATAAACGGTTTATTCAATGACCTATATTTTGGAATTATTTATTAGCCCAAGTGACAAAAATTCAGATTCTCAGGACACAGAATTGAGTTTCATTTGAATTTCTTGACTTTTGAATTTGACTTTTTCTTGTAATTAACTGATTATAAATTACCAAAACTCATTCTAACTTGGCTGGTAAGAAAACAACATTGTGTACAATTAGCAGGGTGAGTGTGTGACTGCACCACAGTGCATTGGATTCCTAACACTGTATGCAAGTTGACAATTACACCTTAGTATCAGTGACACATTGGATGACATAAATGTAATCCGAGCCCACAAATGAAGCATTCAATGATACAAGCACAGCTTGTCTTCCAAGCTTCGAAAATTGTTCACTATGAGTTCAAGTCAATAATATTGATAAATGGGACCAATGATTCATGTTCAAAGTGGAATTATGCTAATAGGAGTCAACTCTGCTTTAATGCCAACAACTGCAGCAAGATGATAATAAAATGACAAATGGCTCACATAAAACACACATGCTTACATGTAGCCTTAAACAAAACTGAATAGAATTTCAACATATCCATTTTGCCAGATATTTGGCTTTAGAGAAAGCACTGGTTAATTTTGGTAATTTTGAAGTACAATTAGAAAAGAGCAATACACATACATACATGTACTTTTGAAAGTGACAAACCACCTCTTCTCTGTTCTGTGATATTCAAGCTGAAGATGTGACAGCATTTTCTTACAAACAAGACTGCCAATTCTTAAGTCAATAAGTACAGACTGTACATGTAGCTCTCACCTTGCTTCTGAAATCCAAAGCCTCCCAACCAGACTGATCCTGGAATCTTCCTCATCTTCTAAGGTGTAGTTCTCTCCAAGAATACGCACTTCTTGATTAGCATGGATAGTGCCACTCATGACACGCCCAAAGGCATGGAAACTTACCCCATCCTCTGTGCTGTACATCTTGGTGGTGTGCAGCATCAGAGGACCCTGCAGATGGGTGATAGAAGGTGACAGTTGAATTTGGAGGCACTTTTTCTGACAAGCTGATCTTTCATGAAAATGTGCAAAACTTCACAAGCATCTGTGCTAGTGAAAATATATCAGCCCCACGCACATTAACAGCCTTTAGTCATGAAAAGGTCAAAAAATTACACAAGAGGCCCTCCGCTCCATTTAGGTTTGCTCAATATTCATTTTTGTGTAAATCAAATTTCAGGAAATTTCCATTAGATTGTACCGATTTCATCAATATTGATATCATTTTATAAAGTAGAATCATTAAAATTAGAGACATTTCCTATTCCTCATTTCCACTACTATGGACACTAACCAGTGCGGTACTCCAATGTCAAAGTTGTAGCATCTGCCTCAGTACATGTGCATGAACCATACAGCTTTATATATAGCTCTACGGCATGTACATGTTACACATACAAATTTTGGGATAGTGGTTACATATAGTCCAATCAATGTCCTTAAGTCCCTAAATGGTGACCATCCCGAGAGCACTGTGGGCCTTAATTTTATTTTCCGGGTTGGGTGAACCCAACTCGAATTCCATTTCTTATCTGTATTCTCATCCCTTTGGCCCAGTAGAAAACTAATTTAAACATTCCTAATTTGTATTATCTCGCCTCAAACTGGTTAATCGTATTGTAAACAATGTAGACGAACATCTTTCTCACGTGCAAAAACACATGGAAGCATGCATGCAGCAAGCTCAAAAGCGATTGGATACCTGAGACGAATGGCTGGTTCAAGCAGGAAGGAACAGCTGCCACCAATGGCAACAATAAGGAACTGTTGAGCAGCGACTAAAATGGAGCCGTCTACCAAATGATCCAAAAGACATGAGAAAGAGCCCAAATTCCCGGGTCTGATGATGGTCTGTCAACAAGAGCATTCTTGGCCATACAGTATTTGTGTAACTGTTACATGTCAGCCTGCATATGTACATTGTACTTATCAATTGGTACCAGGTTGGGACTAGAGACACCGGGTGATTTTCTAGTTTGGTACAGGGAGGAGAAAATGAGTTTATTAAGAGTGGAACTTTGTGGTTTTGTTTTGATTTAGTTTGTTTTATTTTCTTTTTCCCTCTTAAATTTGACATTAAATTGACAGGCAATCATTCAGAGCATTTGTGTCTGCTGTTTTTTGTTCTTCCATTGCCTTATGGGTACAGGTATGTCTTAACTCTTTATTTGACTGAGGAAAAAGGCACTAAAAGTGAACACACCGATCAATGTTCAAAAACAAAGGATGTCAGAGTCACAACATTCCTCTGGAATTTGCTGCCAGGAAATCATTGTGGCTAGGGCATTAAATACAGCACCAATTGTGCCATGAAGGCAATTGAGTAATTCTCTGTGCATCCTTGAGAATTCTTGGATTATGGCATCAGTAACGAGCACAATGGGCACTGGAGTTGCATGACTGAGCTGAGCAGCAGTTCATTTCATTTGGTGCAGCACTGTACAGAAGCAATAACTTTACCACATGAATTTTACCACACTGCTTGTCCCAAGAAGTTTTTGTAAATTTTGATGTTGGTATTTTTGGAAAGCATGTTCTGTTTTCAAATGCATCAAATAAGTGACACATATGAAACTTCTGAATGGCACAAACTACAAGGACAATGTAATTAAGCTTTCACTGAGTGCAAATAAAATATGCCTTCTACATGTACAAGGGCAAATTCCAAGAGAAGGTAGACATGACACTAACATTTCAAGTTTATAACATTGCAAAGAAAGTAGTTATTATGTTTTACCCATATGTTGAAGTAAAAGAAACAAAATGAATTACACTTCAGTCTCTTAAAAGGAAATTTCCACACCACCTTCCAAAATATTTCATTACCACACAAAAAATTTTAAGCATTTTGGTCATGTAACACGAGCTACCAAAACAATTTTTTTTTCATTCTGGAGAAATTATGAGAAGTAAGTTGTTGGTTTGGATAACATTCTAAACTTATCCCACCTTTATTCTGTAAGCATAATGTTTGGAAAAATAAACAATGCCATCAGTTAAAAAATATCATCAAAAAGTGTAACACGAGTTACGGTATTATGTAACGCGAGTTACCACCATGTAATGCAAGTTACCAACTACAAATGCAAGGTTCCACCAATATGAGAATGTTAGACCCTTAACTGAGCTGGGGTGTGCTGAACACACTCAGATGCAATGCTTCACAGACTGTGGGGCACTGAAACAAGAGGGTAGCCTACATGTAAATGAACTCTGCCTATTGTGTACGTGTATCAGCATGAGTACATGCCACATTCTCTAGGCTTTCACTTTCAGTGTTTGTCCATCCAATTAAACCCCCAGTTTATCATCTGAATCACTGTTGCAGCATCAAGATAAAAGGGAGTGTGTTTTATTAATTTTTACATATAATCCTTGACAAGAAAGAAAAGACTGAAATATTTACAACAGTCCTAGGCCTACAAGTACAAGTATGTCAAATAAATGTAAATGGTACTTATGTACTTTTCCTGTTATTGTACTTCAGACCTTAATATTTACAGTGACTTCACTGCACACTGCTAGCAATTTTCTTAATCCTACATGCTAATTATGCTCACACAACCATGCAAATTAACAGTCTGAACTGCAGGGTATGAATGTGTGCTGCCATGGAGCTGTATATGTACCTGTAGCTCCATGGTGCTACATGTACCTGTACATGTACACTGTCGGATGCCACTTGTGGTCCCCGTCCCCTCCCTAAAAAGACATTTAGGTCTATTCAAATTATGACTTGCAACATTCAATACAAAGCCGGAGCTGTACTAAGGACTTACACCTTATTTTCTGACAACTGTGAATAATGAAGTCAGATAACGATTTCTAAAAATGTAATGAAATTATTGTGGTTTTTATAGTAGATTTTTAAGTTTAACTTGCTTCAATTTACTGTGGAAATATTTTGTTTTATTTCCGACAGAAAGACAACATGCCTGTAACATCTGCTGAGAAGCAAAAACAATACAGACAACGCCTAAAAGCTACTGGCCAGTAAGGTAAGTTCAAAGCACACCAAGCAGTAGCTTCCAAGAAATGTCATAACTTTTTTTTTGACGATATAGGTTCGTCAATAACATAATTGTTCTAGATATATTCATTTTACTATTTACTAAAGTGTGCATCTGTAAGAATACTTATTATAAGATGCAGAGCTATCCAAAGAGGTTAATGCCATGGATTTAAGCCAGGCTGTTTGAATGGACATAATGTCACGCGAGTTATCAATATATACCGGTATGCTCCTTGCGTTTTACTTGTACATTGTTTCTAAACTTTAATGTTGTTACCTAGTAAGTCATAACCCATTGTCAATTCAAGGTAGGAAAAGTTTTATCCAGATTGCTTAGTATGAGGAGACTTTATGAAGAGGGGCTTCATAACACGAGTTAGCGAAATGAAACAATTCAAGAACTGTCCTCCTATACTCAGATCCCATTTATTTGGGGGAAACAAGCTGGGAATACAAGTAAAGGAAAGTCAATCTAGCACAGGATTTGCACCCCATACCTCATATGACTGAGGCAGAGGCAGTACGAGCTGTGCAATAAATCTACAGTGGATGTACAGGGCATGTTCGTAGCGTGCTCTTTGATGTCTCAATGTGCATTGTATATGTACATGTACGTACATGTGTGTACCTATCCGAACCCGAACCGAAGTTCAGCAAAAAATTTCTGAATCATGTCCAAACCAAACCCGAACCTTGGCACCTACTTGCAGCACTACTTTATGTTGAGATCACTGAAAAGATTTGGCTTTAATCATAATGAGCTCTTAGTTACTTATAGCTGTTATGTTAGGCCAATGGTTGAGTATGCCGATGTGGTATGGCATTCTAGTCTAAGGCCGAGTCCAAATCACTTGGCTATGGCCAGAATTTACACAATGGCGACTTTGCCTTAGAAAACAAATAGAAATTCAAAAGTCTTTCTTTGTAATAATTCTTCTTCTTCTTTGGGCAATAATCTTCTTTCCGAACAACGGTAAACGAAATTTTATGTCCAAGGGAAAATAAAGTGAACCGCCTGGGTTACAAATTAAAAAGAATATTGGCAATGCCACTGTAGCTTACCTATTAGCTGTATACAACTGCCAAACCTGGTTTGCTACAGCAACAAAGGACAACTAAAGGATCACCAAGAATGTACGTAGATGTTGAACAACCTTGCAGCAATCCCGGAATGGGAACACAGGAATGAGAGAGGTGCATTGAATGCAAGTCTATTTAAAGATAAATGAGGATGTGCTTGATCGCTCCCATTACGCAAGTTATTAAAGAAAATAAAAGAGATCTGAGCTGCTAAACACTTCATAAACCAATGGCATTGCTACACAGGCATAGTATGCATGTGTCAACATCCAATGGGAACACATCCAAAGATATAACTCTAAGATGTCATTTGTATAAGGTATGGTTAGACAAACGAAACATGGTTTATACAGGGCAGACTGTCAATAATAGCTTTCTAAGGTACCAGTACTATCAATACCTCAGGAAGCTAATATCAACTATCAACTCTAAAGCCATGTTACCTTGGCACTTTTTGTATTAAAATAAAGTCCAGTGTCTAGTTTAAAAGCAACAGTGACAAAAACCTGATTAAGTAGGACTTGTTTTCATGTGATTCACATGTAGTTGGGGTTTTTGTGATTTTGTTTCAGATCAGACAATCACAACATTTTGCTTTTACGTTAGTTCTAAATCCTCATAATAGAAATACCGTATCCACCACTGAAAATAAACATAATATCAGCATACCAGCAGGGTCTTCACACATGCTTGTCAAGGGTGGATTGGGAGGGGGGAGGAACAATATCCTAGTATACAATATCCATCCTGAGGTCTTCATTCTTTCACATCTTTCTCATTTGGAAAGACACCTCCTGATACTGGCAAGGTTCAAACTGTCCTCACACTCTAAGTCACAACAACATGAAGTCATTCAGATATGGTGACCCCACTTTCAATGGTGGAGTCCCTTGCTAATAGTATCTACTGTTTACCATACCTCTGGATCACATTCAATCATTGTGTCAACCAAGTCCGAGTCCACAGGTCCAGTGTACAAGTGTTCTATCTTCATTTTAGCAGCAGCTACAGGGGATGGGACATGATCTACACACATATCGACAAACCCTGCAGGAGAAACAAATGTGGCAATGCAGTTGAAAACCTCAGAAATAGTCAATTGAAATGTAGCAAAGAAACATATTGCTTTCATGTGTATCAGTTGCACTGAAAGTAAAGTAACAGATATATCATAAAAGCCCTTACATTAATGAAAGTACCGATAGCTATTCCAGAGGTTTTCACATGAAAACCCTGTTTTGCATCAATGAGCCAGTTCGATATTCCAACAGCGCATGCCCAGTGTGAAGCTATTTGGGAACAGCTACGCACACGCATGACAATCTGTCCACATGCTGATTCCTGTGCACACTTTGTTCCTGAAAGACCTTGGCTTAAATACTGAATTGGCTCATTGTTGGTGTCTCAGTGGTCAGTTCACATTTTGAAGTTCAACTGTTAAGGTCAATAAAGAAGCAATGAAAGTTACACTTTGTGTTTGCTTTGGGTTTTAGGACATTTTGATAACTTTTAAAACTATTTTTAATGATTAAACATAATAAAGCCCTTTCGTATTTTTAATAGTAAATTGGCTTGTCATTCCAGATGCGGTTTGTGCAAGTAGATAAAGACTTTTCATCTACAATAATTAAATAAGTCTACAAAGTGAACCCAAGATGGTAAGTTTGCAATATTTATCCCTAACTCTTGGTTGTACTGAGTATAAGGGATGCATGAGGGCCCTTTGTCTCTCGCCTCCCGTTTTACCTGACCACTATATTCCAAAGGTACATGTTCTGTAGGTGCAATGTTGTGTTTTCATAAACGGCCAAATATGCAAGCATGTAAACCATGTGTCATCCTAACTTTAACACTACATGTACGTACAAATATTGTACGATTCCTCAGCACATTTCCTACAACACTGCACATCCAGTGTAAAGGTTCCAATGGATCAGGGTATCGTGTAATTTATTATCAATCATAAAATATATCTGACCTGTAAAATCACCAAAGAATTTACTGCACACAAGTTTGAGTAGCGGTTTAATATTCATCTTCATTTCTTCCTTAGTCAGATGAATACCAAGCTCATCCAGTACTCCTGGTAATGTACTGTCCACATCACCCACAACCTGTTCCACAAATTCAACAAAGTAAAAATGAAATACTTCGGGCTAACTTTAATATATGAGTCATCTTCCAGCTGTTGTTGTTCCTTGTATTATCACCCTTCCCTTAACTAGCGCTGTGTGCACAAGAAGCCAATGACAAGAAAACAACAGGCCTGGCTGACAACTTGGAACCTGCCTCCATTAGGACTAAACCAAATGAAGAAAGAAACATCTGACTCACCTCCTCTTATAAACATGTACACAAAACTACCCCTCAAAGAGCCAGATTATTTTAGCACATCTCACAGCTAAGGGGAGGGAGGTTCCATCCCCTCTGTAAGAACTCAACCGTACCAAGCTCAATTTTCTTGAAAGTTGGCATGCATGTAATGACACTCCTTATCATTACAAATGTAAAGATTGAACTCAATTTGGCATATGATTTGCTGTTACGGTCACTTGAAGTTCAAGGATACATGCATGCCAGCCCACATACACTGAGCACTGAAGTGGAAAAAATATATATTTGTGGCTGACCTGTATCGGAAAATTGAACGCTACACATCAACGGTATGTACGATTTTCACAAAACTGGAGTAGAAAGGGCAGCAAAAAAATCTAAAAACTTCTCAAGGCTTAGCTTCTGAAAAAATGCACTGCAGCAGTATCACAAAAAATGTCAAGGGGACAGCCCCCCCACCAGCTCTTTTAGGGTTAATGTAATATCAGTTGTCATACGGGCATGACTGGGACACGGAATAATGTAGTGCATCTGTGTCCAGTATACCTCGAGGCTGAAGACTGAATGGTACACGGGATAGAGATGCACTACATTATTCCGTGTCCGACGAGCTTGAGCGTGATGATGAATTTATCTTCAAGCAAACTTGACACGCAGTAAAGATGTTAGTGGGGTCTATGGGTGCCACCGCACCAGTTTTGAATTTACAGTAAACTTTGTAGCTGTGCATTTTGCTTTTCCAATGAAAACAGTGCAATGCACAAAGTTAGAATAGTGCATCACGCAGGGTTTGACATGGTCCGTGCAACACAGTTATGGCACTGTTTGTTGCCATGGATTGACCAATCAGACCTGAAAATTCAAGTTTGCTTGAAGATAATAAAGAACGGCATGCACCACCCAACAACATTTTATCATGTTGACATTCAGGAATTACGAACGGCAACTGAATAGTGTTCGGTAGGTTTTGTGCGCAAAATATTGGGAGCCAAGGGCGATGTTCAGTAAAGCCAAATGTTTGGTATACCAGTGTTCGGTATAGGGGCGTTCCACTGTCCTTGAAGTTCTTGGCTGAAACTATCAGTTATGGGCATATCTTGTTGAGATTATTAAGATCTTATACTGTCATATATGAAAACACTAATATTTGCACACTCAATGTTGGAGCAATGTCGACGATCACAAACAGCGAAAGTCAAGAAAGTACTGAAGTCAACAACATACAAGTAATTAGAATTACACTGATTATTCCACACTAAAAGTCTTACAATTCATAAGGACTGCTGTGTAATTTTTGAAAAATTCCAAAAGAAAGTCTGCTTTCAAACAAAGCTGTGTCAGTTTGACAAACTCATTACGTAGTACAGCATGCACACAAACATGTATTTTCTGCATCATGATTCACTGTATTAAAGGAAGGTGCGGACCACATCAAAATAGACAAGTGCTTGGAAAATAACATCTTCAAAGTTAAAAACCACAAAATAAAGTGAATCATTCATTATCTCATTTTGGAATAGAAAATGTTTTGCTTACATATTTCAATTGCTGTCCAGATGTGTGAATATGTTAATGTGCCTCAACTGAACCAAACATGTAATTGCCATTTATCATGTAATCATAACTAAATTTAACATTCACTGAAATTAAAAAAGTGTGAGGAGATCCATCAGAATGTGATGTCATTGTTACTGGATATGTTCATGTTGGCTGTCAAGTACTATCTCACAGAATATCAACCTCAATGCATTTACCTGAGCAAATAGTTTGTACATGGGTTCCAAAATGAACTCGACAAAGCTACGCTGGGCTGTACTGACTGGAGACTTCTTGGTAAACTTCCGGCTACAAGAAAGAAAAGCACAAACCAAAAAAAAAGACCATTTCAATTCATATTCTAGGTTGATATTGACTAAGTTAATAGTTGTTTCATCCATGCCAAATTTTTAATAGCTGCCTCAGCAATTGTTTGCAGGAACACCTTTTGTTTTTTTATTTTTTTTCCTTTTTTTGTGCATGTTTTGGGGGGGTTTGTTTCATTATCTTGCTTTTCCATTTTAACAAGAAAGAATCAAAACAATGAATTAACTAATTTCAGCTCACATCTTTGGATTGAAGTAGATATCTCCCCAGAGTCGCTTAGCAAACTCCTGGTGGTCAATGCCACCATAGGAATCAGCATAAATCTTGGCAAACGATGCGAGTGTGAAGCACATGCTGTATTGTGAACTGGCAAAACAGACATTGCCCAGTAATGGTGACACCATCATCGGCTCAGCCTCATCAGAGTACACACTAGGAAAGACACAGAAAATTAGTATTACATATTTTGAAACAAACAACACTTTGATCCAAAAAATTTTAAGAGGCATTAGAAATCGTTCTTCAGTGGCACAATATACATGTACACTTCACCATCAACCCAACAAATAGTGCTCAAAATAAGCACTCAAAGATAAGCTTCCTTCAATTTCAAGTTCAAAATTATCCCATCTTTAATACTGTCTTTCGGGGGAAATCTGAGATTTGATCTTTTTGCTAATAAAGGGCTCGTAAACTGTGGGAGCACACATTTAACTGCTGTTGTCCTAAAATGACGAATGATTAACATTTCATTTACCATTTAGAAGTCCACTGAAAAAATAAACCTAAAAACTTTGGACCACGTATATAAAAAGAAAATATTATTTCTTAATCGCCGCATCAAAGTAAATGTAATTGTATTGGAATGCTGGTGGAAGGTACATTGAACTCTTACATGTATGTGGTACAGTGTACATTTTGCACTGCTTGAATCATTTAGACACATTTCGGCACAGAACTCATATTCAGATACAGTTCTCTTCAGAAAACCTCCTTTTGAAAGTGACCAATGACTAATGATATACATACATGTGCATATGGTACATGTATGTACACATGTCTACCAGAACATGCCAGATTAGGGCTTTGGCTTGTTTAACCACTTCTCACCTCATCAGCCCATTGATCTCTGTAATGATGTTCCTTAGTTTATAGTATGCATCAGCAGGTGGCAGCTTCAGCTCTAGCACCAGTCTGTCGATTTTGTTGATACAGATGGTGACAGCAACCTGCTCCTGTACAGCATGCTTAATGAGACGCTCAGTATTCAACATGAGACCTTCAGCTGCATCAATGAATATCACAACACCATCACTAAGACGGTATGCTGCTGTCACCTCATCAGAGAAATTAACATGCCCTGCCAAAAATAAAGCAAAAAAATGACACTTAAAATATTGAAGACTGCAGAGAAATCAATTGCAAGATGTTAAGGCTGATGCTTGGTCACTTAGTTACCAAATGAAAAAAACGAAGTCTCAAACTGATGTTTGTATACTGCATTTTGTGTAAACACTTTCATTTCAATCCCATGTTTTGTAATGAAAGTAAGTGTGAATGCTGATATTTGTCAATGTCATGTCTTTTGTTCCAATGTCATGTCTTTTGTTCCAGCTTTTGTGGACAGCAGATTTTGCCACTGTGCTCTAGATCTTTTCCAATTCCGTATTAACATTAGTTCTGGACATTTAGCTCCCTGCAATGTACATGTACTACTGATAAGTTCTATCAATCAAAAGGGACAAAACGTTGGTGTAACAAATAACGATTCGGTCACTGCATGCTGGTTATCAACATTGCAACAGAAGATAATTGATATGAAGTGAAGATAAACAAGAAGATACTGGGAGAACAGGAATGCATTTTTTTCCAGCAAAAATAGAATACTGAACAGGGTATGGGCACACTGGCAGGTACACAGCTGCTAAGGAACAGCCTTGCAAAACAACAGTTTTTACAAAGTAAAAACAACGGCTTTGGTGCATTGAATGAATAGGTCCAATTGTGTACAATGCCATGTATAATGTACTGTACATGCATACACGTGAACGTGGTTGATGTTATATCAAAAAGATCTTTCAGTCATGATTAATCAAATACATTGTGATGTGTTTAGAATAATAAACTCCACTATCATATGACAACATGTTTAATGCGCATGTGAGATTAAATAAAACAAATACATGTACATGTGAAAGAATCAATCCACGGATTTTTAAAAAACTTTCAATCACCATAGATGATGACAAAGCTATCAGTAACTAAACAGCATGCACATGTTCATGCAGGCCTGTGCATGTGTACATGCAAGAATGTGAAGATTCATCAACTGGAACCCCCATCCATGTACATGTGAGTAGTCTGTCTAACACAAATTGTGTCATGAAGAGACATTTTTATTTAATTTTCTGTTCTGATTTTCGACACTAGCTGCAAGATACGATTGTTCAATAGTCCAAGTTCACTCACCCACTGCAGCGCGGCTGCCCATGCGTGAGATGGTCACAGAAGAAACATGATGTCATGAAGGAATATTGCGATAGGATAGCTTTGTCTTGAAAAGTGTACATCATCAAAACACAGTCTCATTGGTGGGTATGCAAGATCTTTTTGCAGAAATATGAATAATTCAGTGTGGGTGATTGTTGGGCTCTTGAGATGCAAGAATAGTCAAGCAAACTTATTTTGGGGCATATTTTTATTGGAATTAGAAAGGGAATTTCTGTTTTGGCACTTATGTAATCAATGTTAAAAATCACAGATTTTTTAATCATGCACTATGCTTGTCATGATGATAGGAAACTGGCAAATATTGTGTGCAATATCTCGTAAGTGTGCATGATGCATCTGGCCAGGGCAGGGCACTAAGCCTTGTGCTGCAGCTAGGAATTTTGTGGAAACACGCTTGCTTCGAGTACGAGCAGTACCACCTCAAATTAAATTCATGAACACAGAAAATATAAACATGGACATGAGAATTGTGAATGAAACTGCAGAAAAATTTGTGACGGTAGTGTTTCTTCAACTTGCAACTATAATGCTGCATTCGTATACCATGTAGTGGAACGTACAACCTTTTTTGGCAGGAACTGTACATTGACTGGTTGCCGCATTTCCACCATGCCTTAATTAACAATGCTTCGGCCCGGCAGGAACCAGTGTGGTGCTCTGCGCACATGTTTTTACCACCACAATTTGCAAACGCTCAATATAAATGGGTCGTCAACAATGGTTTTTCAGGCAACGGAGTCACAAAACGTTTCGTTGTAACAGAAATATCATACAATGCAATTTCACTGAAACAGATTTTCTCCCCGGAGAAATGTGCACATTTTCACCGAGACCATAGATTTGGCTTTGTTATAACTGGAATTTCGTTATGACCGATTTCGTAATAACGAGAGTCAACTGTATGTTAAATATAAGATCAAACTCCACAGATATACAGGAGCACAAGGCACAGTTACCAACATGTGCACACAGTCTATCATTTTAATATGGTTTGCATCAGCAAGTTATTTTTATACAACATTTTGCCCTTTCTCTAATGTGTACATGTATATTGACAATGTATGGTCAGTGTGGTCCAAAGAATGCAAAAAAGTCACAAGCTCGCTCAAGTGGGGTTTGAACCAACAACTTCCTGCTCATTAGTGCAAACATCTTAACTACTCGACCTCCGAGTTTGCCAGTATTGGGTGGCTGGCTCATAGTCAAATCCAATGCAGCAGCAGGTACTGCAAAAAGTCAATGACATTGATCTCATCCTTAATCATTGACTAACTGTTGTACCCACTGTTCAAATGTCGGCAATTAGTAATCGGCAATCATGGGTCTGACAACATTTTCTGACAACAATATGGACAAACATTGAAAAAAGATCAACCACTGATCGACTGGAATGACCAATGACTAAATTCATTGTAGCATTTGAACATTCTAGTTTGTTGGAGACAAATTGAATTTTAACATTTACAAATTTGAACAAAAAAATTAAAAAATGTGCAGGAAAACCTATTTCAATTTAAAATAAAAAATCAACAGAGCATGTCTGAAGAGTTGTCAGTATACATGTAATTCACTGGAAATGCATTATTCATGAGGTCACAATCTGCAGTCAATGATTCCTGTAGAAAGCAGATGCAAGAACCACCCAGTAGTACAGTCTAGAAAGTTTTGAAATGGTTCATCAAATAATCTTAAGAAACTACTGGACGATACAAATGCTTACCAGGGGTATCCATGATGTTCATAAGAAAGTGCTTCCCTTTACTGTCTGGCATAACTAAAGTAACAGGTTGGGCCTTGATGCTCACACCCCGCTATAGTAATGGAACAGGCCAAAGAAATAAGAACAAAACAAGTTGAATCACAAACCTGGCAAATTTGGAAGTGTAATACAAAACAAACTATGTAAACAGGACATAAATGCATCAGCAACTTTCACATTTCTTATATCATTGTTTTCACTTCGTAACAAACCAGGGAAAATCAATCATCTTTCGATTTACAGTTTTTGCGGCCATTTTGTTACATTTAATTCAATGAACAATTTGGCAAAGTTTCTCATTACAGTAAACTCTGACTAAGTCGGCATCGCGTAACCCGTCATATCGTCCAAGTTGGCCATTTGACAAAAGTCCCAATCGTCTGTAATGCATTTCCATTGAAAATTTCATTTCTAAGTCGGCATTTATAAGTCGTCATTTCACATAAGTCAGCATGTTTTTCTCGGTCCCTTTTCCACAAGACCACAAAAAGTCCTTTAAGTCGGCATTAGAAAATAATTGTGCTTCAGTATGAGTTTCCTTCACCGCGGTTGCTGAGAAGTTTCTAATGACAAGTCCTGTGCCCGCACAGCCAGCTTGAGAACATCAATACCAGTAACCCCTCTAGTGCTGTATGCATGCGCTCTGTCCATTTTCAGGGTTGCCTTATTGAACGTAGTCTGGTTCCCTGCCCGAAGATTCCGGGACGACCTTTGATAATGATTCATCAGGTAGTCACAATCATCGGGTCTGGTATCCAGACTACATTAAACGAACTTAACCAATGTGCTTGTGTGGATGGGTGCGTGTTTTCTGTACCGTAACTATATCACGTACATGTATGTACTGCACTGTCGAGTCGTGATGTGGTATACAAGTGGCTTGCCGTCATTGCTTTGTCCTCAGGGGCGCATGATAAATTATTGAATTTGCAGAATAATAATCGAGAAAGAATTTGCTGGGATCGACCATGGAGATAGAAATAAACCAAAGTAAATCAAAGCCACTGAATTAGTGCAAGGAATCATAATGTACGTAGCCAGTACATGTGTATGTGTAAGTCGGCAAAATGACGACTTACAACACAAGTCGGATTCACGCAAGTCGTCATAATTTCTTGAGTCCAAAGAGTGCCGACTTAGCCGGAGTTTACTATATTTTCAAAGAAACATCTGACAAAAAGCCCAGTCTCCATGTTTCTTTGTTTTTGTGAAGTAAACAAAGCCATCTCACAAGTAGAACCAAAAGGGGACTATAGAAATCATTGTGCATGAGGAGGATGTGGAGCTTTACAGTACATGCCCAATTTCAATGATGTATAAGAACAACTACTCGTGTTTAAATATAATAACAATTTTTCTCATATCTTCATTTCCATAAGTGACAAAAACTCTGTGAACTGTAACAGTAAAAAAAGTAAAGGCTTCCACATTTTGTTTCCACAAAGTTTAGTTGTTTTTCAATGAATCAGACAACTTTTCATATACTTGTTTGAATTAACATGATTAAGAATGAACAATGCATATTTCCTGTGACAATGCAAAAATGTGCCAACTTTATACTAACAAGCAACCTAATATGTGTCATGAAAAGGGGATCATTTTCAAATGAAATTATCTCATTGGTTATGCAGGATATTGCAGTGTTTGTCATTTTGTGAAAACGCTATAAATGTGACAATGCAACTATCACCTATTTCTCCCCACTGAGAGACCTAGGGAGTAGGCCAGGTCTGGAGATAAATGTAAGCTACGAGAAGCCTCAGAGATCCAAATATCCTTATTTCTGGAACTTACATTTAGCACTTAACACTTACGTTTAACACTTAAATTTTTCCCAATGGTGGGATTACCCACATCTTAGGTGGGGCAGCCATGAGGAAGGAGGGAACAACACAACAGATTTTTGTGTGCAACACACAAGAGCAGCAGAGCACACTGTATATCAACAAATACCATGGAAAATGTGAATACAGTTTTAAAATTGTGACAACAAAAACATCTATTAAATTTGTCTCATACATGTAGATTTATAAATTACCTCTTGTTCTGTGAAGAGGGTATCTGTATATCTGATCTGAAAGAAGAGAGAAGAAAAGAGCGGCACTATATGATGCACACCATAAAAAAACACAATAACACCTATTGCTGTGCATGTAGTTATATTCAGAATACATCTTTTTTTCATCTTTTAGTCGAAAGAAAACCCATTTTAATCAGTTACTTACACTACCATCCTCCTTAACTCTGAGCTCTGGGTGGGTCTGTTCCATCAAGCAGTCCACAAATGATGTCTGCAAAGGCAAGATAAAATGAGACAATCACGTAAGCTCATTGTTGGAATGCTCATTCCCTGCCAGATGTAGCATATAGATAGTGCAGCAGCTGTACAATTGTGGTGGACTTTATTGCACTTCGCAATCAACCGCTGCCAATAAACCTACACATACATGTACACTGTTCCATATGTATTAACACCATTCTTCATGTATCTCAGTGCATTTTACCATGCAACTACAGGTAACGAAATATGCAGACATTTATTTTGCATGTCTAAAAAGCTGCAAGTCCCCTACCTACATGTAAAGCAGAAAAATGCTACATACATAGTGCATCATAATCAGAGGAAAGTTGCTAAGGCCTGGCATAAAATTTTTAACACAGGCACAAATTTGACAAAGTTCATGTTTAGGTCTTTGAACATGTATCATGGAGTACCCTAAATTTGCGCTTACAAATATTCGCACATCTTACTTTCTCGTTGTGAAGCTCTTCAATGAAATTATGCATCAACATTAATTTGGATGGACCATGGAACTGGCCAGGTATCCATGTGCACCGGTGCCACATGCAAATTGACTTCAGGCTATGAAATCAGAGACCCAAGAAGTTGCTTCAATCATGCAAACTCCTTCGTTGGAAATCAGTTATACATCGTAATCCAGAGGGAGTTACATCGGCTACCAGTACATGTGCAACACAAATGCAACACATGGGCACTGTGCTCCACGCACAGATACATGTATACCGTATAGTTCAATGAACAGACGTGACATTGTGCATTTTACATTGCTTTTCTTACATGCCTTTCATCATGGTCCAAATTTTTGTAAATCATTTGTCGGTAATGCATGATCATCGGGCCACAGAGCACTGTGATTGGTCAGCAATGCCTCACAAGGATCATAGAAAAGGAAAATTTTTCACTCAGTTTTCCATCTACAGTGGCCCGAGGTGTGAAGCTTAGAAAGAATGTTTCTTTATGAATTCAGAATTTTTGTATGTGTAATATTTGTTTATAAAGTCTCCTCGTCCTTGATTGTGCATTTGGTTTCTGGCAAGTTATGGTGGGGTCGGCCTGCATGGCCAGGCTAGGATATGGTGTTATTTTACCAACGCCGCGGCCAGACTATTCCAAGGATTAAATCACACTGCTTTTCCACCTCATGCATAAGATAGTTCTTGGCCCCCACACATGTAACTTACTTTACCCATCTTTTCTCTGTTCTTGTGCTACAAAGCCCCCTACATAAATTGTTGTAGTGTCACTGTAACACTGTGATACTGTCACAGAACTCAGCAGATGAAGCTTAGGGAAACATCAATGGTTTAAGTTCGGTCAAAGATGCGTACGGAAATAGGGCGCTAATTGGGAGGTCCAGTGTTGCGGTGGCCCATGGAGCTGACACCACGGTATTACCAGACACGCTGCAACGGAAACTATCTGACTTAGCAACTGCGTGCCTGAGTTGCACTCAGTACATGGCATGTTCATGAACATGCCCAGCTTAGGCCGTGTTCATGCACGAAAAGGAATTTCAGGGCAACGAGTCTTGCATGTCTCCACGTATTCCAGGCTAAGCCCTAACCTGAGGCTAACCATACAACCTCAGTGCATAATGCAAGCATGGACGGCCTTATTTGCTGTAAACACTTGCGGTGGGTCCGCAACCGCACAGCCTATTACGACTGCAAGGTCAAGAAACTCTGGGGGAGCGAGAGCCATATTTTACAACATGGCTAAACCACCATCAAGCTACCTTTCCATTGTGTAAATGTCCAGCCAATGTCACATTCCTGATCAGTTCTGCATTGTCCATCATATCAGCAAGATATCTGAAACAGAAATCGGAAAGTCTTAAAGAATCTTGTGATGAGCAAAATGAGACCAACTACAACCACATTAAAGCTGCACCCAAACTGAGTTGAAAATTGTGATTTGGCCCACAAATAGCATGTACTGTTGTAATTCTTCACATATATTTGCCAACAAAACATTTCCAATGTTTTCTTAAGTCTCAAAGAGAGCAGAGTTCTAGGTCTTTATGTCCAGGCTAAAAAAGCCTTTTGCAAAAATGGAAGTGTCGTCATCAATCAATTTAAATGTACATATCCTGCATTATGCATGTACAGTGTATGTACGATGACGTAGGAGGTGGTACTCAATCGATGCATGCTAGGCTAGTATGTATGTACACATGTACAGTACACGTTTACAAATAGCATACATTATACATGTACTGTACATTGTACATCGCGAAAGTTCCACAATATATATATGTCTGAAAGCGAAGTACATGTAGTCTGGGAAGAACACAGTGTTGACGAGGAAGAAGTTCATTTATCTGAGGCCAGGAACGAAGATTCATCAGATTCAGACTCAACAGATAACCTCGAGGGTGAGGTAAATGTAGTTGAAATATGCGGTGCCGAGGCCTACCACTTCGAGCCAGCAAGAGCACTCCCAGTGACTGGACGATTCCAATGATGACAGGGACGGTAGTGCTGTGTCAGCTTTCCGTGGACAAGAGCACGATCAGTTTTTGAACACAGATTTGTAAGCCTAAATCACAGTTTTTCGTTGCCACTGAAATGGCTGGTATACCTTAGGACCTATTTGGACACATACTTTATGCACTCCGTGTACTCCATGGAAGAGATTCGAACTTTGAAGTCTCAGGCTTTTTGGTTCAACACGTACATAGGGCCAACATGACATGTTTACTCGGCTGCGTGTAAACGTCTATATTTTACTCATATGGGCAATTCCATGACAGAGTGGACACGGCCCTAAATTTCAAATCCATATTTGAAAGCGATTATCTATAAAATATTTATTCATATAGTTCAAAATTTGTGGAACAACTTAAAATAATTGAATTGTCGCAGAATTTTTGGAGAAATGGTCATTTGAAGTGGAATGGTAATTTTGAACTAAAAATTTTCCAAAAGTGGGAAATTCTTTGTTTTATTTTATAGAAATTTAAAGGTTAATCTAGTCAATTATGCATTTTCTATAATACATATGACACTAGAATTCAAATTTTAAAAAAGGCATGGCTTGACTTATGTCATGAGAACGTCATGACTAAATGTTCAAAGCTTATCTAGGGAGTGTAACGTGAGTAACCAAAATATGATTTTTTTCCCCTAGGTAGTGAATATATTTCTTAGTTTCAATGGTTGCTACTTTTAATTATCATTCTCTTGGTGATCCCCAATGTAAAAACTAGGTTATGATGTGACTATTCACTGTTCAATGTGGCGAGGTGATAGAAGTTGTAACGTGAGTAACCATAGGTGTAATGTGAGTAACCAGGATTAGCAAGTACATGTATAAGATTATATGAGCAGACTCTAGCACACGGATATGCTTTATATGCAAATAATACACAGAAATGCTTTATAAGCAAATCATATAGCATTACCCATGATGCACTGCACACTGTCTGAAATGAGCACATGGAAGAAAAGCACGTACTGTTGACCATCTTTGGAGGCTGGTGTTATCAATGTTGGCAGATTTTGTGAGTGTTTATCTTTCTTTATCATGTTTATAAATCCTACATACATGTACAGTGTGTTTTAGTGAAATTGCTTTTATAGACCATTTATTACTGGCCAAGTACATGTAGATCTAGAAAGATTTCTGTCTTGCATCTATTGTTTCTTTAAAGTAACTTTATATCAGATTATTTGCAAGTAGGCCTATATTTGTACAGTATGATTTTTATCACTAGGGTGGGCAAGTTATACTTGGGCTTTATGAAGATGTTCAGTTTTGGTTTTTTTCACATGTTACTGGCCAGGCAGAAATAGCATCAAAAAGTATTGTTTTTGTCTTTTAATTACTGTTTTAGAGGGTGCAATATCCAGGGGTACTATATGGTGTGCTATATCTAGGGGAAGTGCTTGCTCACGGTGGTAAGAATGAATACCAAGTATCAGTAATGCATCCAGCTGGAAACTGCAACTACAAGTGGCCAACACCAAGAGATAAGATCTTCTATCTTTGAGGAAAGCGAACAACCGAGGCCACTTCAACTTTTCTGTTCAATCATGCCTATAACCTTTGATCACATGGTTACTTTAAGATCTACATGTACGTTTACTTTCTGTACGGATAAACGACCTATGCAAAAGGTTGACCTCTAATCCCTTAATTTTAGATTGTTGAGATCTATAAAGAAAGTGAATTGGCACAACATGCTACCCCCACAACTGTGGGGTCCCACGTCCACTCTCCTCCCACGAACATAGTGAGGCGGATGTCGGACCCCACAGTTCTGGGGGTAAGAACATGCTTGACAGTTGTTTTGATTGTTTAAAAATTTAATAAATAGATATTTTGTTACTGATACCTCTACACAAGTACGTCAAAATTTATGAGGATAATTTGTTAGTTTATGGCTTTTTGTGTGTTTTGCACTTTGTAACTTGAGTAACCATAAAGCGAGTAATCAGATGTCTGGTGGATTTCTAGAAAACCAAAGATTCCAAAAGAGTTGTATTACTTTCACAATTTGTGCTCCACGGCGAGGTTCTTAATTCATTCAAAAGAACTTTCCAAAGCTTGTTGGTATTAAGAGACTTTTTGATTACAGCTTGTTGGCCTTTTCTGTTTGTCCAAAACTGTAACGTGACTAACCAATTTTGTTTGCCTTACGTATCATGCTGAATGCTTTTATAGTGTTATCTTTGTTTATTAGGTATGCCCTCGATACTATGGAGTTAACAATAACTGAACATTTACAGGAAAATAATTACAGCCAAAAGAAATTTGAAAGTACATGAAAAACATGAAGTGAGTAACCATGGAATTGCCCATATTGTGTTTTGGTGAAACTTTTTTATCTGCATGAAAATCATACTATTGGTTTTCCACATTATTAGTTATTATTAACTTGTCATGTGTTTTTATTTTTTACTCAGGAAATATCGCCACATGGCAAATGGTCAAGCTGTTCAGTGGTGTTGGGGTTGGACACCACAACAGAGTCCCGTTGCCATCGTGCATCATGGACAACATTCGCTAAACATATCCAAATGCAGATGGCGAATACAAGAGATTCCAATATCCTCAGTCGGATTAGTGTTTTGTTTGTTTTTGTATCTAAATGTAGGCTGAAAATATCACAACTCACCATCTATTACACTGTACATATGCATGCCAATTCTTTTAATCTTCAATACAACTCGCTGCTTTTGACTTACTGCTGTCAACCTAGTCTATAACTGTACAAGCAGGTTTTCAAATCCACACTGTGGTCAAAGTGCATGTATTAAATACTGTACCACTGCATAAGTAATACATGTACCTTGAAATAAACTAAGTGCATACCAGCATGAAGCATGTACACGTGTATATTATTTCAGCACCCATTCAGTTTTGATCTGTGCCTAACAATTACCGGTAGGTATAACTTTGCCAAATTTAGCATCATTTGAAATGCAAAGTGCAGCAGCCTGGCTGTAAAACACCTATTCATAGTAAAGGAGCATCCAACCGGTGGTTGGCCCCCAAGTCCTGGCTGTTTTCATACAGTTTGAAATCTGTGACATTTCAATAGGCCTAGCTTCAGTTGCGAATATTGGCATATGCAAAAGGTCATCCTTCCAGGCTCACCAGCTTAATCAACAGCTATGGGAGATTCCTCAAGTTGAGTTTGACAGGGTTCATACACCTTTGTGAAAAAGGACTTATATATTCCAGGACTTTCCAGGTCAGATGTTTGATTTTTCCAGTCCGACTTAATTCAGGTTGGACACACAATACAATATATCAATACAATACAGCAGAAGATTGTGAAGTTATAACATAACAATGTAAAGAAATCAAGCAGCGCAGCAACAAAGACATGACAAGTTTTCTGACAGTGACAAACGGACCATGAGGTAGGCCTACACACACCTGGCGATCATAAAAAGTTAAGGTAAAAGGTTCGACACAGTCACACTTTAACTTTTACACTAAGCTTTATTAGTTTATAATGATTGGAAATACATAATTACGTATTAAATAAAGTACATAAATATAACCCTAACCCCCCTAAGGTATATGTAAAAACATTGAAATCGAAGGATTTGGGACTATAAGGGTTACTACTGAATAATTTCATAATGGACCTTTCCCATGAAATATGCAAATTAGACACTGGATGGCAAGCGCAGCTGTCATCACCATTGTCAGTGTAGGAGAGCTGCTCTAACCATAACCTGGCACGATGAAGGTCAACAAAAACCATATCACAGCCTTTGTCCGATATTTCAACACGTCTTTCTTGAAACTAAGTGAAGTTTTTGGGTGCCCCGACATTGGAAAGTAACAATTCCTTGCCTTTAAGTTTTGCACTCATGCCAAACTATACCAGAGCAGGAACGGCGTGTATGTGCTCGTGGTTGAGCGCGCATAGAGATTTAAGCAACTTTGCCAACCAGTGGTAGTAATGCGCACATGCCTCTGCCTTATTAACATATTTCATGGGAAAGGTCCATTATATCAACAACAGACAGTAGTTCACTATGGAGCTATAAAAAACAAAGGTAAAATTGGACTATAAGAAAGTTTAGTAATGATATTCTTGGTGCCCTGCGCATGCAACATAGAAAGAATCACATTGTAGGCACCATCCAAAATTGATTTAGCTCATAGTGCTGTGTGCAGCATAGGTGTGTTGTGTAGACCATGCATGGTGAATAATGTACAACTCTATTGCGCCATGCACTAATGACAATGTACGCAGGACGGATTTATCACAGTAAATTTTCGGTCACAGCTTATTTGATCATTTTTATTTCATTTTAAAAGTAATATTGATTTTAATGCAATTTCCAGGACTTCTTTTGGAAACCAATCATTTTCCAGGACTTTCCAGGATGAGTATAACATTCCGGGATTTTCCAGGTTTTCCCGGAGGCGTGTGACCCCTGGTTTCATGATTGACAAAGTGAACTGAAGAAGACGGCTGGATGAAATGCAAACCACAAATGGTGAAAATCACATAACAGTATACATACCTGTAGTTAGAGCCAATGATTTTTACATTTCAAAAATGGGTATTTTCCATTTTGCCAAATACCGAATTCCGCTTCAGAAATTCAAATTCCGTTTCATACCTTCGTAAGCATGAAAAGGAGAACAAGTTTTAAACTATGGAAACCATTTGCTCAAGCATACCCCTCTCCCAAAAAGAAACAGTGTTTGGATAGACTCTGTAATGTTTCCATCTTTTTTTATAATTTTCTGTAGTGATAATTTGAAAAAAAATCCACACAATAAATACGGCATCCCCCATCCCTTGATTTGCCACCGCAGCAATCATCAAAAACTTGCCAAGATTAATCAACGGACAATTCATGTATCACTCATGTATAAACTCAAATTACATTTAAATACAAGTACAGTGTACAGTGAAGTCATAGAGTACATGTAGGTCTTGCATGCAGCAGTCGATCACAATATGTTAAAGTTAGCCATCGTCCCGCCATTTTATTTAGCAGTGGTTTGACAAAATTGAGAAATTTAACATTAAATCTGTGCCTTGAAATGCAAGTATGTGACTGAAAACGTAGCCCTTCATCGAACACTTCCGAGGGCCCATTTAACTACATGTATGATACACCAAGCTTACCGGGTTTTGTTTAATTCAAGAAATATGTAATAAGTCTTCCATTTTGGTACCACGATTTCATCGTTTTGCCATGTGGTTCTAGCTTTGTCTCAAGGCATCTATGCGGATTCACAGAAATTTTGCAAGTTCCGTTTTAAGCAGTAATTTCCATTTCAATGTGCTGATTCCACGAATTCATGTATGAACTGGCCCTAAGTTTGGAAGTGTTCAGATTCCTTTTAAGCAGAAAAATTACACCAAAAAATTACGCCACCACACTTTAATTTAATGTTTTACTGCAATCAGCAGTAAATAAAGATTTCAAATGATGACTGACAGTATTTACAAAATACTTCAATTGAAAATCACTTACTCCATGTCATACATTGTCAATGGAAGATCTTGTTCTGTCATTGTAAACTTTTTTTGTTTCACTGGTGCAATGATGGGATCTGATAAAAAACAAAACAAAGATGCAAATCATAAAAACCATAACACACATAAAAAGGTATTACTGACTCACATGTCTTTCATGTGCTAACAAAGTCCTTTGGTATCACAGCCTATACATTCACAAACTGCGGCAAGTCATGCACATAGTGTCAGTTTCATAATGCCACGCAACTGAGAAATTTTCACAGTTGTAGAATATCTCTCATCTGTAAATGTACATGTAAAACACACAACAATGCCAAGTTCAAGAAAGGTTTGACTTTTTATTGTGGAATCAACCAAATATGGAAGATGTTAAGAATGGGATATGGGCCTCTCATTTTGTATTTCTACCAATCGTGACCTGAACCACCATCTCCAACCTCTTCCATGTTTGGGAGACTTGGACTCTGTTTCAGTCGGATATCAAGAAACTTAAAACACTTGCAGATGAAACTAAAAAACCACTCTCAACATTAGAAGGGAACATTGCATCACCATCCAAAAGCTGAAGCACAGCATATCAAGTCCATCATACAGCACATCCACTAAGGAGGTTAGGACATGTTGTGAGGATAATAACTGCCTCTCTGACACCATCCTTTTCAATGAGCTAAACTCTGGAAAGGGACAATAAAATGTTCCTTTTCCCAGCACTTTCAAGATCAAAGCGGCACTGACAAACTATTGACAAGAAATACATGTAGCATGTAGCTGCCTGAAACTGTCCAACCAATTACTGGGGCAGATCAGCTCCAATCTTGAGTATCCATGATATATGAACCAATGGGTGAAGAAGATGAAAGGAATGACTCCTCAGTCACAAGGAAAAGACAATTCTGGTAAGTTTCACTTTTCCAACATCCAAACTGCTGGAAATTCCTTGCAAAATTTCCTGGCCATTTCAAAATAATTCCAAGACTGTACGGCATCTTAAAGTGAATCACATATACCTTTGGCGTTTTTTGACAAAAAATGGGTCTCAACAAGTTGGAATAACATTGTACCAGTAAAAACTAAATTAGTTGAAAACATGGCTTAATTTTAGCCTGCCTCACCTGTGAGTGGCTGAGTATCTTCTTCATGTATAATGGTCTCGACATCAGGTCCATACACTTCCTCAGCTGTTGGATAGTACTTTTTGTCTTCATGAAGCACAACAGCCTGGGATATGTCCCCTGCCTCCACTTGTTCATCTTCATCCTCCTCCTGAATTAACCGATAAGGACTAGTAATAGTACACAGGCTCTAACCTAAAGAATAAGTAGCTATAATTGGATGTATCCCTGTTTCCACTATGTCGTAGATGTAAACTGACCTGGTGATGATACACATAGTAAATTGTTATAATTTACCATCACCACCAGGCTGAACAAAATACCCAGTAAGTGAAGTAAATTCTTGTTAAAGCCACACATACATGTAGGTTATACCATTGATACATGTAAAATCATAAAAATGAAACAGCCAAACAATCCTTGAAAATCTTACTTGAAAGAAAGTAAATAACAGCCTTGGTCAATCTGTAAAATATTTCCACCCAGACTAGAGCTGTTTTCGAGAAAAACAGAAATCTTGTTCTTTTCTCGCAATGGTCGGCCGACAATAACTTGGAAACTTCCCCAAAATCAAAGGGGATTTTCCATTTTAGTTTTACACTCACCTCTGTTCACCTACATTTGCATTTCAATGCGCATGCGCAACAAACCTCGCTGAAAAAGTCACCCAAGCCACACCCTCTGCCCCCACTGCATGTTCCCCATACAAAAGGCCAGGTAGCACTAAGACTCGTCCTAGGGAGTTTTTTTTTTTAGATCTCTCTCCCATTTTGTGTTTTGTTTTGTACGGGGAGGGATGGCAAACAGAGGTGAGTGTTTTCTTACTAGAATGGAAAATCCCCTTGGATTTTGGGAATTCCATTACAGAAAACAACTCAACTCTGTTTGCAGAGTCTAAACTAAGCCCATGGCAATATGAAAAGGTTGGTTAGACAAACCAGAGAGCTGCCCATCTAGTTGTGAGAAATGGTAGCGTTTCGGGTTGTATGGGCTGCTGATCAGCCAACCTGTTTGACGGCTTTCCTGCTCATGGGACCCTCCATTTGAACCACATCCTTCAGGTAGCATGAAGAAGGTGATGAGATTCTTCCAGCAGCCTGTTTTCATTATACCTGAAACTCCAAGCTGGTGGGACCAAGATGTCGAGGTGCTGCATGTCTCATGGGCTTCCTCAATATTGGGAGGACTTGCCTTCAATCTTCAATGAACGATCGTAGTCACAGAGGCCAGGTGATGAAGCTGGATGGTCATAATGAACAACTTCTTGACATCACCTCATAATGGCTGCACACGAGCAAAGAAGTATGTGGAAGCTTGTATGGGGCACCACCATAAATCCTCTGTCATTGTTGAAATTGCTGTCAAACTTGGGACAAAAACATTTGAGGGAAAGAATCGGTTGAATGCTTCGTGGTCAGAGACTCTATGTGTGGAATGAGGCATACGCCGTTGGGTTCATGGCACAAGTGGCCTGGTTCTGTGGACCAGGCACAGAGTTGGCCTCCTCGTCGAGTTGTTCCAGCAGCCATCAGAAATACCATTTTAATGGTAGGCTGATGAACAGCAGAAGCCTCTGCTGGTGCAACGGGAGGCTGGAGAAGCAATGATAGAATGATACCTTGATCCCAAAATGCTTGAAGAAATACATGTCGATGATCTGAAGACCAGAGGTAAGCCAAAGAAGAAGACGGAGAATGGGATCGATAGCCAGCATCTTGTACCACTTTGTAAAGTGGAGAAGTCAGTCACCATAAGCTGTGTTGGGCTGCCCAGGCTGTATGTACTTGCCAAAGGTCAACTTCTCTGAGGGAGACTGTGACAGCATCCAAGTACACAAATGAAGGGAGGCTGGATCCAGATGCGCAACTGGAGACCTGGGTTGAGTCAGGTCTTGGAAGTTGAGGAGCCTGACTGAAGAATGAATAAGAAGGTCCAGGAAGCAAAGGAACCAAAGCTGCTGTGGCCAAAATGAGGCAAAGAGACCATTTTGGATAATTCTGTCTCTCAAGAGCTACTGGAAGTACCTGTTCAATCAATAAGACTAGTGGGGAGGTGTTGGGATGACTCCTGTCCAGTCATAATTGAATGCACTGACCTCTCACTGTCGTTGAGCAAAAATTGTCAGGTGAGTGGCTTGAAGAGCGAAGCGTTGGCAGAATGATAAAAAGTCCAGCCTGTCTGCAGTCTAGAGGCAGTGGGGCTCATGCAGCATGGTCTGATGGTACTTGTTATCAAAGGGAACAACAGGCTACAACCATCAGCCGCAGATGGGCAAAGGCCACTTGGCCTCAAATACAACCTCTCAAAAAATAGGGAGGGGAGTGAAGGCCAACTGAAAAGGCACCCAGGCGGTTTTGAAAATGTGTGTTGTAGACAAATTAATTTACAAAGTGTGTTCGTCCTTCAATTCCAAGAGGGTGCTATTAACTTTGAAATTGCAGCCCCTTTTTTATTGTACTGCTTATTTATAATAAGCCCTGTAATAATTATACTGAATGGTTGTACAATAAGTAAATCAGTAAAAAAAGTGACTGTGCCTGTTACTATGTGGTGTTGTAAGGGCACTGTTGTATCCATTACTGACCACAAGGCCCCCAAACTGCATGTACATGTAGCTGTGCTACATGTATTTTGTGTGTGTATGTTTTGTGGAATGAACAACATAAAATGGGACAAAGGCTACCAAAGATCACCATAAGGTGACCAAAAACTTGCCTTATGCAACGTAAACATACAGTCGACAATTCCTAAGAATTATACACAACTTACGCCACTATGCACAAAACGCTAGTCAGATACATGTAATCACGATGGGAAACCATGGGGAAAGTGGTCAACAAAGGTCATACATAGTGTATTATCACTTGATAAAACCAGTGAAGCAGACAAAAAACCTTGAGCTGTGCTAAGGAAATTTGTGGGAACACGCTTGCCGAACTATGTGTAAATGGAAAACAACCTCGAATTAAAATCATGAACACAGAAAAAGAGAGCAAGGTCTGTAAATAAATCTGTACAAATTTTCATGCAACGTGGATGTATTTAAGATGTGCGGTAAGATGCACATAACAAAACCTGGATATCAAAGAGGGTACCTAACGTACAGTGGCGGCCACCCCACTGTGCTGATATTTAGTGAACAACAAACGGTAACCAATCAGGAATGCTGCAGGTCCAGTACTATGCACTACTGCAACATGAACAGTGTAGTGTACTGACACATGTACATGTACATGTATCTTGTTCAAAAAATACACTGTCCAGGTGGCGCATACCCAAAGTCTATCCAATTCTTCTTTGGAAGACGTGGTGGTACAGGGACTAGAGCTTCAACGAGTTCAGTAATATCTGTTCCAAGCGAGAACAAAGATGGTGCGTTCTTTTGTTGTTTGGCTGTCAATGAAAAAGGCAATCCTAACTCATTGCGCAGGTGTGCAAGTTATTGGCACCTTTCCATATATGCATCAACACTTGCGCCACGTGCTGTGTGTCCGACGAAATCACTCCCGGAGTGACCCCAACGGCCCAACGCAATGCACACAAGCATTATGTTAATGGGGTTGATCACTCTATCTGTGACAGTGAAACACACCAACACACAATCCACCCAATCATACAAATGGAAAAGCACCTCAAGGGCACGTGCGCAAGGCACACTGAGAACACCCAACCAATTTACACTCAAAACACGGTCTGCACATGTCAAGTCGCCAAGCACACACAGGAATCCGGTTGGAAAACTTTGTACCAGAGGGTCTGTCTTGAACCCTTACCTGACCAGAGCTAAAAAATACCACTTCGTGGGAAAATGTAGCGCTGTGACGTAAATGAGTAAAGAGACCCATTGTTTCCTGAAGCCACAAAAGACAAAAGATAAGACAATGGAGGAGCCCCGCCCAGAAGTAAGAATTGGTAGGGCAAGGTCCTTCGGCCTCAACTTACTAGGTAAAATATTGCAGCACTGAGTCCACTGTCTCAGGCAATATGCCAGGGGTCAGGGTTAACCGGCAAGGATACAATTTGAAGTAGGACTGAAAGCAAACACATTTTCACCATGGCAAAAAAGGAATGCAATGCAAAGGAAAACCAGACGTGAATGGAATGAATGGTAGTGACCAAATGTCATACGTGTGCACCCTGAAGGTTCATGCAGGTCTGCACAATGAACCACCATGATGATAACACAAAGTGCCAAACATTCAAAATGGCCCAAAATATGAGCTAGTACTACTTCGAGTACACACTTAGTGTCACTTTATGTAGGCCCCAATAGAAAAAGTGGGAGAGGCACACTGGCCAACGAGGTCGTAAGACATGTAATGATAGATTAGCCCACTGCAAACTAGAGAGGCTATCCTCATCAGTGGATGGATGAGAAGAAAAAGATGCCCAAGAAGGAGATCCGGAACAGTAACGATTTCAATACGTCGCAGGGACCACTCAAGAGAAGAGTTTGACTTCGGTGTCGATCCAACAAGGGAGAGCAAAACCATAAATGGGAGCAAGAATCGCACAGGAAAGCCCATGCGGTAGAACAGCTGGGGCGGTCATGGCAGTCGTCAGAGTGATGTGGAGAAGTGGCCCCATGATCTAGAGGGGCAACTGCGGCGTCAGTCTTTGTAAAGTGTGAAGAATGCCCCGGATGAGATATGATAAAACGAGGACAGCTCATAGGAGACATCATTGAAAACTCAGCATGCTTGCACCCAAACTGGCAAGGGTCGTTTGGACTGGCCCTTGGATGAGGACGAGGTTAAAACAGCTGCATCTGACCTGCAACAAATGGCTGGGAATGTGACCACGCAGCTGACATTTCGTGGCTAAAATGTGATGCTGATGTAGGCGGTGGTGATGTCCGGGGCCTCTGTAACCGGGCAGGGCTTGCCGGATGTTCAATGACTGTCGGGCCCACCGTCCCACATGTACATGAACATCAGATTCTGCTGCTGCTGCCACTTGCTCACGTAGGCCACCAAAAGAGTGCGGGATTTACTTGAGACTAGACACAGGCTTGGCCTCAGGGAATACCACAGTCTTATTAAAATAAGCATTGATTTTTGTGTGGTGTGTACAGATATTGTAAGAGTCATTACAAGTGGGTAAAGGCAGCAAAAACAAAGTGCTCATTAACAAAACCCATTGAAAACTGAA